TGAGAATTGATGTCACAAATCATCAATTGAATTTACATGGCCTATCATCCAAGACAAATAATGCTCGAAACATCTGAAAACCTTAGGATACAACAAGACCATCTGTCGGTCGATTGTAAGGAGTTTTACCCGCTACTTTGAGTTATAGCTTTCAGCGTTCTACTTTCTCATTTGAGACTTCTGCCAAAATAATTGCACAACTATTAACGGGATATGTAGCAGATGTCAACTTGATGTACTCCGTAAGTTAGATTGTCTTTTAGTATGATGGCTGCAGATCAAAAACTTTGTGTAGCAAAAACAAAGTCAGATTTTTCATTCCTATATGATCAAGTTACATAATATGTGACAGAGTTTCAAACCAAGCGATTAGTTGTGGATAAAATTACTTTCATGCAGCTTGAATGCAAAACCTGACAAACAGATACGACCGTATTGAAATATTTATGAAGCTCATTCACAAATTAAAAATTCCATCTCAGCCACTCAAGAGTATTCATGTACATTCACTTCGGATATCTATTATATATACGTATACTATGACTTAGTATCACATGCCTCAGGAGATTTATTGCTACAACATTCAATTTTTTCCAACCAATTGCGTTATTTTAGTCGCAACAACGGAGGAAAAGTGAATTAATGTAGGTGTTGCGGAATACGATGGTCTACTTTACACATGCCTAATTATTAGTATTAATAATAGAATCATTGTGTCTACAGATCTAGCCATGCATACATGTGTGTTCTGCCTATTTGGTATTCGTACATTTATAACATAGTATTTTAAAAATGTATGTACATAGTATTTTGTCTTCATTCAACATGATTTTCAATACTTGATTATGAAACTTTGTCTTGCAGGCTTGAAAAGAAAGATGTTAAATATACTCAATTGATATTTTGTTCAATTTTTTTCTGTTGGAGCTTGAAAAGGTATGTATGATATTCACTACTATTGTCAAATGAATCCAAAATTTTTCTCTCATTTCATTTAAGCATTGTATTGTTCAAGTATGTATTATAAATTTATGATGTATGTATACTATAAAATTTACATGTGGCGTTTGATTTACTATTTTCTTGTAATTCATTTGACATTTGATAAAATCTTATGATATTGCTAGTAAACTCATATATCTTCTTTTAGCATATTTTAATCATGCTTGAAGATCTGAAATACCTATAAAATACCTTCAAGCATGAAATTATTTTATCTACGGATTGTGAACATTCATTTTGTAGACATGATCGGATCTTAAAATTCTAATGTAACCAATAATCTTACACAAAAACTCAAAGCTTTGTGAAATTTGTGAAGAGATATTGATTTTTTCTTGATAAAAAAGACAACAGTTTTGGCACTTTATGGCTAGTTGAACGTTTTAATACCTTTGCTATCTTTTCACTTTATGATTAAAAATAGAAGTATCATATTATATATATATGATCTATATGCCTTATAGATTAGAAATTTATAACTCTTAAGTATATTCTTAAATCATATGAGACACATTTCAAAAATAAGATTCAATATATCATCTTTGTTTTCTCTTTCATTGAAGAGTGAAGATATTTACAATCTACTTTGGTAAAATGAAATCATTGAATTACCAATTTCAATATGCCTTACATTTATTTTCAGTGAATGTGGCTATTTCTTCTACCACAATTTTTTTCCGCTCTTGCTACGACAAGAATGCAAGCTTTTGGATTTAGCTCAATCTTGTATTAGACTTTTCTAACTAGCGTTATTCATTTTTATGACAGCTTGGATATTTGTATTTGCCTGGACTTAATCTCTCCTTTCACTTTTTTTTTCATTTCTAAAAATATTACTAATTGTTTGAATTTAGTCCATACCTTCATTATTTCTTTGTTCATGTGTAAAAATAATACTTTCGTAGTTCAAGTATGGATTCACTTGACTTATACTCATTTAGAGAATAGATGATAAATATGCTCGATGACAATATATATGTGTTTATTTTGATGTCAAGTAATCATACCATCATCTGGAAAGAGTGGTTAGTATGCGTTTGAGGTAGGAAAGTTTAGGGCGGATCTACACTTGATTCAAGAGTATCAAGTTATGCTTGATGTGCTTACACATTTGATACATGGAATAATAAATGAGGTATAATTAATCATCTATCTATATAGGCGGTGAATGTAATGGCTATATCAAAGATCTACAAGTATAAAGCTGTGCAGAGAAATTAATTGGTTTATTTCTTAAGATTTGGAGTTAAATGAAGATATGAATGAATACTTTGAGAAGTTTATGATTGAATGAGAGAGCATTAGACAACTTATTGATTCATTTTCATAAGATTATTGTGAAATTTAATTTAGATAACTTGTCTCCAATCTATATGAAAAGCATTCCCTATCACTATGCATAGTAAAGCATTAGAAACATATGCTGTTTGAATATCGTTAGAATTGATAGTTGAGATACAGTAATTGGTGTAGATCAAATATATTTCGGCATGAGTAATCTAGTCAGACACCTAAATTATCTAAATTAGCTCAATTTAGTCACACTAGGAGATCTTCGTTTAGGCGGTAAATAAATGTGAACCTTATCTAACATTTACATTGTAAATCATTGCTAGAAGTGTTCAATAAACATCAACTGCAAGACATCTTTCTAAACAACATTTCAAAATCCGTTCAAATGTCCATGCAAGGCTTCAATTCAATCATGTACAACAAACCCATATAAGTGCCACTGTCATACAGATCCGAAACTACTTATATTCATCCTTGGAACTTGAAATCTGATGTGAATAGTAAACTGTTTTTCTTTATTGTAAACCACATTAACATGATCTTCAAAATCACCTATTGGCGTTGAAGCGTTAACATGTTTTTGAAAATCACCTTAAAGGTATAGGGGTTTAAAAAAGTGTAGCTACCAAACTCAAACCTTCAAATTATAAATAAAATAGTAAAGCAATATCTTTAAAATATCAGGCTATGGTACTTGAAAGACCGAAGCTTAACATATTCATAATGTAAGTGATTTCATTGAGATATAGACAGCGAGATCTTTTAGAGAGTGGCTAATTATCCCTCACTTTAGGCTAATTATACTTCACCCTACTATATTAGGGTGAGGATTAATTAGCCAAGTTGGCCAAGTGATCAACGTAGCAAGATTTTTTAGGGAGTGACTAGTTATCGCTAACTTTAGGCCAATTATCCATCACCCTACTATACTGGAGTGAAGATTAATTGGCCAAGTCATCAAAGTGATCAACATGTTCAATGTTGCCCTCCACCGTCGATTGCCCGCTCATTTTTCGGCATCGCGTCTCGTTGAAGCCAACCACATTTAACTCTCGCTTGCTTCGGACACACACACTTCAATCGAGCAAATTCCACCTCCTCGGACTCTCGTCCACCTTTTTTTTTGTCGGAGTATTTCCATCCCAAGGGCGGTCTTTTGGTCCCAAGTCGCAACTTGCTGGGTTTCGTTGTCAAATCCTTGTTATTTTCAACTTGTGTACTTAAGTTGACTCAAAGTTGAAGCCTCAAACCAACAATTTTTGTTCGTTTGCAGTGTGGAAATTTGTATTCAGAAGTTACTAACTTGAGAAAGCTTCGGAGTAAGATTGCCACTCAGCGTTATGGGGGAAAGGGGAGGTGTGGTTGGATGTTGTTTGACAATTCGAAGGTACTCCGTAACGATGACACGTGCAGTACATGGCTGACATGGCTAATTGTACCTCACCCTAGTATAGTAGTATGATGAATAATTAGACTAAAGTGAGAGATAACTGGATGTTGCCATTTTTTATTATAACAACTATAAAGTTAGCATTTCAAGTTGGCCAATAGTTTGCTACTCTCCTGTTCACTGCTTTTATCGAAAGCATTCTCTTATGAGAGAGATGAAGTTATGGAATTACAACTTATGTTATTAGGATGAAACATGCGAGACTGAATGTCAACATCTATTTCTTCAACATCCTCAATGGAAAATTTGTTGTAAGAAAAGTAACTAACAGCGGAGCATCTTACTTGTTGATCTCTAGTCTACCCGTGCAATATGGCTTCATATTCAAAGTGAAATCATTTGCAGCCCAATTACTCTTAATAATCAGCCATACCGCGACTCCCTTGCATGATTGAAAGAAAGCATAAGTAGGCGCGCCGACATGGTATAATTTAGGTAGTTTAAGATCGCCTAAATTAATCAGGCCGGGATTATATATAGGGGATTGTTAAAACGACCACAAAAATTGTTAAAACAACACCATTGAGATCAAAGATGAATCTCGCGATCATGTGACCTCTTAAAACAAATTTTTTTGTGCACACAAACCCAAGTATAAACTGCAATCGTGTTTTTGGCTCCCCCCTACTCTCATACTTCCATGTAACCCGCCATTGCTCTCTAACAAAGTATTGAGAAGCTCTCTCGTTCTTAAGTAACTCTCCACCCTCCCTTCTACCAAGGACAATAAAGAATTTATTTTCGACAGGTGAAAAGTATGTGTTCGATTGAATATATATATATATATACTCACACCCACCCATGTGGTACACTTATTTCATGATGGTTTCGTATTTTGTTTGGCTGGATGGTACATTACAAAGTTTCAACCAGCAACTGACTGGTCTCTTCTAAAACTAACTGCTTCATTGTCCCAAGCGCAACCATGTTTATTTCAAAGTGGCCTCTTTACCTAATATACAACTAGTTTTTTTATTTAACCTTATAATTAGCAGCAGAATTAAAATTGAACATAAAGAAAAATATAGAGCGAAGGTCATATACTAGTTACTTTTATATGGGGAACTGTGTCCGGAAATAACGCAGTGCATGGAGCGAGTACGTAATGGTATAAAGGAAGCCGGAAGAGGAGGAAAAAGCGGAAAGAAAATCTGCCTGGAGGTTCTTGGAAAGTTACACGTACGACGAGAGTTGACGCCCTAATTGTGACTGCCGCCAATATCGGAAGGATCTTCTTCCAAACGAGGTCAACTAGAGGAAGTGACACCCTGACGAAACGGGGTCGGATGAAACGCTGCGACTTCACACTGTTTAGTACAGACATGGGTGTGGCTGGGTCCTTATCACCTTATCAAGGAGTCCATGAATTAGGGCACGGTGAGTATGAGATGGCGATGTCGCGCTGCATGCGGTGGGACGGCAGCGAGAGAAGAACTCGGCGGCAGATGAAGCGAACAGCGCAAGGGCAAGGGAGAGGCATGATACGTAGTTCGACTGATATGATTGGGCACTGAGGGCACAGCACGAACCAAAAGTAGCAAGTGGCGATGATGCGATTCGATGCTATGATGGCGCTAGACCAGAAAGCTCCAGTACAGTCCGAGGAAGAGAACCTGCTTTAGCCGCTAGCGACGCAACCCGACCCGCGGCCATTCGCCACAGATGCACGCTGAGGCAGATCAGATCAGACCAAATGTAGCCTCGGATTTTGAAAGTTGCGGCTCGTTCGCTTTTGAACTATGAACGGATGTTTCTTCTGGATCTGGGCGAGGACGAGTTGAGGACCAGAAAGCTACGTACAGTACGAAGTGTACATGATGCCGTATCTCTCCCAGGTGGTAGTGGATAGGCAGGTTGTGACGAGGTCACATGCATTGTAGTATTGGGGAAATAAACTCTTTGCTTCTGTTGTGTTTTGTGAAAAATAATAAATTTTCTCTGGTCAACCGTAGCCCGTTTACTACGTTTGAGTTTACAACAGACCCGGTTAGATTACTGCCATCATTACGTAAAGACTGAATGAAAACATAGCTAAATTCACCTCTAACTTTGGCCTAGATTGGCTGCCCAAAAGTAGCCAGAAATATAGCAATATAATCTTCCATGTCTGTGGAGGGCAGAATGGTGTAGCTATAAACAGTGAGCATTTCCGATAACACTCTCTGGGGTGTACAATGTGTGCTATCCCCGTAAAGTTATGTGATTTACCACATGCTTTTAGCTGCCTATCCCGTTCGCCTCATTATTGACTAGATTATTTCTAAATTTCGGAAGGTAAGTGTCTCGGTTTCCTCCTACTTCGATGACAAGCTCTTGTGCTTTACAGTCTAATGAGGGAAGTTATGAGAAGCTGTTTGTTGGGATCCGAGAGCAAAGATAGCCCCGGCCCTGTGGTTGGTAGTCGCCACTGTAGAACAGTATCGCAAGCAGAAGGTGAGATCCTGACCGGAGACATGGTATATGTACAGTATAATAAGAAGAAGGCCTAGTCATACTGTAGTACGCAGGGTTGACAATTTTTTTGAGCCCAATGATTCAGCGTCTGAACCGTGGGAGGGCGTTTGATAAGCAACAGGAAAATGTGCATATTCAGGGGAAACAAACTGAATGTAATGGAAAGGAAATGGCGGGTCAGTGGGCTAGCCACTGAAACTGCATTGTGTCTCGACGGGACGCGCTAGGGCGAGTCGAGTCCAGTCCACACCAAGGATCGCATATTGTGGTGAGAGGGAGAATGGTTCTCAGGGGTGGTGATTTCGTAGCCATTTCCTGTTGGTCCACCATCTTGCTCACTCATTCGTCTTTTCTGTTGTGCTTTATCCGTAGGATGCACTCTCACCACTACGGGTCTCGGGTCTGGTCATTTGGGCGGGTCCTGGTGCCAGATCAGTAGAGCCAGCACTCATACGTGCGCAACCGTGTTCGTCTTGCTGGCTCGCCCGCTCTGATTTGCTCTGCCCCTGCTTCCATGGCCGCCAAGTAGAAGTAGTGTTAGTGGATCTTTTGTTGTAGCGTTGAGCGGGGCTGCGCGGGGGTGCAAGCTAGGCTCGGAGTGCAGATCGACACCTGGGTCGGGTCCTGGAGGTCTGTCATCGGTCTGCTTTCTCTGCGGGTCGACGTCGATGTAAGAGGATCGGACTGGTCAGGACTGGGGGGCGTATTTACGAATTTATCTGCGAGCCCGTACTGCGAGCAAGATATTCCACTGCAAGTGACCTTTGGAAGGTCTACTTGACGGTCGTGTGACTCTTCGAGCAGTTACTATGCTTCTCTGTGCGATCATCTATATTGCTTTCGATTCGCAGCAGTAGCTGTAGGCATACACGCCATTTTCGATCTTGTTTAGGTGCCATTCTGCGAATTGTTTTCCTGGTGTCATACTGACAGACGAGTCGAGTGGAGGCAAGGGGAGTCGAGCAGAGCACAACTTTTCTTGCTTCACTCGTTCCGGTACTTCTCGTCTGTTCTTCAAGTAGGTGAATCGAGACAGGGTATTCCGGTGGCAATATCTGGGACATCCTGAGGAATGAGGAGCACGTGGGAGCAGGAAACTGAGAAGGGGACGGAAGGTCTAAGGTTTTGGTGATGAATGAACGACATAGCACGACCTGGTTCGAGTGAACACACTCAATTTAGCGGGGAAACTCTTAGATAGCGCTATGGAGCGAGGACCCTCCGAACATGTGTTGGCATTTCCGTCGTACCGTTGCCATCATGTGAGTACGGAATCTCAAATGCAGAACCAGTGGCCTATTTCAAGTGAGACCAGCTATTGCCCTCGGTGTCTCAGGGCACAAACATCCTCATTTTGTCTTCTGCCTTACTTGGGCACGGTACTGGCAGGCTTCCACCATTTAGATCGAACGCTTGTCAACATTTCAACCATCACTGCCCTCTGAATTGACAAATATTTTTTTAGTAGTCAATAAGGTATGGTTACCAGGAATTACTTGACCACACCACTCAAGCTTTTCCTGGTTCAATCAGTGCGCACTTTCTGACTATTGTACACATAATCTTCGTTCCAGCGATTCGCAGTTGGTTCGAGGAAACTTTGATGCAACTTTCAAACTACGAGCACTTCCAACTTTGTTGTGCATGATAGAGGAGTCCATCTGACGGGTGGAGGGAAAATAACTATAGACAAGATCACACCTACAGAGGAGCAGCTGGCAAAGATGCCGGCCTCAGCAGCATGGGCCCGCCCGGAAGAGCTTGTTGAGAGTTTAAGCTCGTTGGACAATACGGCGAGGTTGAAGGCCCTCCGAGATGTGAAGAATCAGATTATCGGGAACAAGACGAAGAAGCTTTCTTATATAAAACTTGGAGCCGTACCCAGGGTAGTGGAAATTCTCGCAAGTGACACAGAAGTTCCTCTGTTAGTTCAATCCGCCGCAGCAGTTGGAAGCTTTGCTTGTGGCATTGAGGCAGGAGTGAAAGCCGTCCTTGATAGTGGCGTTCTACCCCATCTTCTCAAAATGCTCTCTAATGGCGACAACAAGGTAATTTTCACTTGATTTATGTTGGAATCTGATAGTAAGTAAATAAATACAGCATGAAATTTTGCCTTAGATTGTAGTAATCTCTTGAGCTTTTTTTTCAAGACCTGAAAACATCCCAGTCACGTTTTACAACATCTTCACCAGACTTAGTTTCAGGAGAGTACACAGCTTCGTCAATGCACGAGTTGTTTACTTCTTTCTGATCGGAGATTCCATCTCTGAGGACAGACTGCAGTACTCAACCATTAGGTCTGTGGCAAACCTAACTGATGATAAGTTTTGGACAGTTGGCAGTTAACCTTTTTTGAGAAAGATGCACGCTTCGGATATTTTGTTCTCAACCACTTCTCTGTTAGTTCTCCACATAAGCATTACAATTCTGTACTGCTGTGGAGCAGTTCTTCGAAGCAGCACTTGAACCCTCCAATTGTACGCTTAGTGTTGTCAATCTTAGAATTGACATCTATTCAGTTGAGATTTCTATATTTAGGAATTTTTTTTGGGGCATGAGCAAAGATCGCAAACTCTGTTAAAACAGCTCTTCATTACTTATTTTTTTTCAATCACTGATTGATCGTGTTTAATCAATTTACGCTGAGTGTCATGACCATAAAGCAGGTGTAGATTGAAATGTTTACATTACCATGTGGTATTTTTTTCCACATATGCAGACGCTATAACAGGTACTAGGAGTCCTACCTGTAATAGGTCAAAAAAGAAACTGCCCGAGAGTCACGATAGCTGACGTAGTATTTCAGGAGAACATTATACCATCAATGTAAATAGGACGGTCTTTCGGTCTCTTTCCTACCTCAACCTACAGTGGTTTGTATTGACCAACGCTTAAGTCCATACGATCTATATGTTAGTAACTTGCGTCAATCTATTGACATAATGCAGGTGGTGGAAGCCTGTGCAAGGTCCTTGAAGATGATATTTCAGTCCACTTTGGCACCCAAAAGCGATATGTTCCAAGGCCATAGGATGGAGTTAATAATTGAACTTCTTAACAGTGAAAATGATAGTGTGGCCGAAGTCGCAGCTAGTGTCCTGGCTAGGTGTTGTGAAACTGTTGATCATCAGCGGGCTCTGGCTGACGCAGGGGGTTTGCAGAGCCTTGTCGGTCTCCTTAACGGTTCCTTGAAAACTCGAGAAGCGGCTTTGGATGCGCTAGCCGCTCTGACCAGGGGTAATAAGCAGTTGTGCTCAACGTTAACATGTATGGATCAAGGGAAATCGCTAGCTATGATTATGAAGTTAGTGAAAGACAAGTCGTCACGGACAAGGTTGTTAGCCTGTACTTGCTTGGCAAATATTGGCAAGGCGTCACCTTCGAGTTTGCATCAAGAAAGGGAAATAAGGGCAGGCATGCTCAGTATTCTTGTAAAATTATTTGATGAACCTGGTCAGGTTGGTGAAGAAGCCCCGGGTGTACTAGCAGACCTAGTTTCTAACAACGAAGATTTGCAAAAGGTTGCTATGGACATGAATTCTATCGAAAAGCTGGCGGAATTTCTTCGCAAAGATGAAATATCTCCTAAGCAACTTGCGGGCGTGCTCATGGCCCTGGCTGAGTTATGTTCGCGTTTTGAAGATAGCAGAAAGCAGCTCCTTGACCTGAAGGTGTGTATAATAGGTTTGGAAATTACTATCTACTACTTATTAGTGTGTAAGAACTGTTATACTAGTTTTCACCAATAATTGTTATCATAAATGTTTTACACTTTATTGGATGTGAGAAAGAATAGACATTTAATGTATCTAATTGGCTTCAACACAGATCTGTTAATGTCAATGTTTCAAGGGTAGGCTTTTAGGCTCGGGTTGGCGCATCTCTACCAAATGAGCACGGCTATTTACTAACTACTTTTTCTAGGGACTTTATCTATTTGTTCATAGATAAATTCCGCACATCAATACATTAATGGTGTAATTCATTGAGAAATTGGCTCCTCGTTAGACATGAGGAGATGACAAGTACACTCCACATATTGAAACTTTATTTGCATTCTAATATTTCGTTAATTTTTTTATCATTAGGACGGGGATCTCAACGATATTCATTTTAATACTCATTTCTATGTTGATGTTGTCGATACAGGTACAAGCTCCCATCATAGCCGCTTTAGAGCATGATTCTGTTGGTGTGCGTGCTGCAGCATGCTCTTGTATAAAAAGTCTCTCTCGTTCAGTCCAGGTAACCGTCCCTGCATGATTGTTTGATCGCTTAAAATTATGCTTGAACCTTTTTTTTGGACTGGCGACTACAAAACATTGTATATTAATCTGATGTCAGACGAAAAGCTTCTTCTTTCCTTATTTTAATGCAAACATCTATGCCGTTTTATATCAGAGTAAGATTTTTTTACAGGCTATTTGCTTTTTTTTTAATTTCTTTCATGTAATAGAGAGGTGTTTAGACTGGAGAGTAGGTAAGTGAAGTAAAAGAAATGTTACTGCTAATAGTTTAACTTGACGTCTCAAACTCATTGCCTATAGCCAACCAATGTGCTTGATCGTGATATGAACAAGCTTTGTTTCTCGTGCTTGTTGTTCTTGTACATCTCATTGTGAAGTTGTTTTTGCTCGTCTTTTAAATAAGCAGCGCAGATGCCATACATTGCTTTGAGGCCCTTTGCATCTATTTTTGCACGTAGTTCAAAATGTTTGGTCTGACTCCTGAATCCTTTAGAGTTTGTCAAGATTTTATGAATACGTCTATACACACTATTGCTACGGCTTGTTATGGGGCACTTTAGAACAGGTCTATGAGAAACTATAAAACTGAAGGTTCCATACTGTGCTTTAGTTCGATAAGGGAGGAAAATAAAATTAGTAAACGTGTTGAGGAATATTTTGGAACGAGCTAATGGGCTTTGAAGAGTATTATGAACTAAACTTTAAATAAGAATTACTAACTTCTAGTAAGATTGGAAAGGCCTAGTTATTATTTCAGATGTAGTGGTCCGCTTTCAGTTTCATGCTCACGTTCTTTGGTGCGTTTTTGTTATGTCTTGCAAGTTTTCAGTTTACATTGTTTTCCTATTTTTCAACCTTCTGTTGTCATTTATATCTCTTGGAGTCGATGAATCTTGTTACTTAATGTCATGTTTGTTTCTTGTCTATCCACAGAATCTTAGAACAGGCTTGACAGACGAGCTCTTAGTCCTACCGTTATTGAAGCTGCTCAGTGATTCATCATCAGATATACAGGTGCGCACATAAGTGGGTTCGTCTCCGTTTACTGTGATAGTTGTACAAAATCTGTATATTAAAATTTTAGTCTAGCTTATGGAGCTTCGAAGGGCGAACCTTGAGTGGACATCACGTGTTAACAAGGAATCACATCGGCAGGTTTGTGAAATAATGAGACCTTTACATCATGTGCTGAGGAGGCCAACGGTGCTCAATTATTTGTTCACAGTACTTTTTTCAAATTAGATACTGAGTAACTGTGGTGCCACGTTGTGTTTTGAACAGGCATTAGCTCTGTCTGCAGTGAGCAACATTGTACTAGACTTCAAGCCTCACAAAGCAGTTGTGTTTAGGTGTGGTGGGGTCAGTCAGCTCATACAGCTGTCGCAGTCTATGGATCCGATACTAAGGCTGAACGCAGTTTGGGCATTAAAGAATCTTTTATACATGTCTGACAAGACTGTCAAGGAGAGAGTTATGGGAGAACTAACGTTCAACTCTCTTGTCGATCTAATATTTGGTAAATGACCCTACCTATCTATCCGACTGTTGTATATCCCTATTTTTCTCGTTATCTTTCTGGCAGCATTGTTTATCTTTTCTTTCCGTAGGTCGTTCCAATCTGTTACACCGCCTTCCAAACAATCTGCAGTATGTCCCATCTTGAACACATCTGATGGCTGATGCGTTGTCTTGGCTGCCGTTTGTTTCTGTGCACTCTAACTGTGAGTATTGTTACAATTGCTCTTACTAACCATGTTAGTTCTGTGCAGCTATCATATACTTAGTTGTCTGAGCATGCCTAATAAATTTCATTATAGACCCTCTTCTGTTATTACTGAGTACTTTTACCCGGTCTTCCTATATATTTACTCTCTCTGTTCTGGACTTGTAATGTTGATTCGCAGTCTAATATTTTCACTTTCTTCTAGATTCTGAGGAGAAGGTACGAGAGCAAGCGATGGCCTTGGTTCGTAACCTTGTATACGGTGACGTGGATTCTGTGCAACTCGCTCTTGTTCAGGATTCTGTATTGCTCCATGCTGTTGAGAAACAACTTCATGTATCAACACAACCTGAAATATGCATCCAGGTACATGCCTTCTTTTATCGTATTGTCTATTTTTACATTGCTCCATTTTGACGAAGAGAAGCCTTCAGTTACACATATTTTTCTTGGATTTCTTGTGTAGTAGTCTTTCAAGTGCAATACCTACCAACAATCTACAATGGACGAACGGAAAAGTAACTCTACATTGAGGTTTCTTATGTTATATTTCAGGCATGTGATCTAGGTTTTTTGAACACTGAGTTGTTTCTGTAAAACAAAATCGCTTGGGACATGCTGTCGTGACGTTGAAAATCTAATTGGTGAACGCAATGTCCATTTACATATACAGTAGCTGTCTTATACATGTTGCTTGAGATGTCGATGTTTTTGGCACCTGACATAAGTTTGGTACAGGGGCTTTATATTGTAAGCAACGTAGCAGCTGGTAATGAGGTGCACAAGGAGGCTGTCATGGACATTGTGATTCCAGTGACATCCGTTGGTGTCAATCGAAATACATCATTGTTGATGAGATATTTACAAGACATGAGCAACCCGCAGATTCGTGTGGTGGCTCTTTGGTGTGTCATTAATCTTACATTTCCCAACAGTCCTGGTGTATCCAGCCGCATATCAAGGCTCCGAGATGGTGGTATTGAAGCACAACTACAGAGTATGGTGGATGATCCCTGCTTAGATGTAAAGGTTCGTACTAAGCTTTAGTATTTCCCACGGAGGTACTATAAGATATACATTTCATATAATAATGGAGAAACTCAATGGTTTCATACGCCTTATCTCGTGTAAATATGAAAATTGCTCCTTACCTTCTGTCTGGATTTCTGGGTATATGATGTGTTTGCTGGCCTTTGGATTCATAATCTTAATGTGTTGTCATTCAGTTCATAATATGATTCCACGGAAATTTCAAGATTTTAGTAATGTAGGTAGCATGTTTTATCCATTATAATCTTTCTGAACGGTGATTCTCCACAGGACAAGGGAATTTTCTCTCTCTTGCAATAGCTTGAACTAGAAGCTCTGTCCTCAGGTTCTTTCATACAATATTTAATTGCTGGTAGACGTCACGTGTTTAAATCTCACAAATACGTAGTGTTCGTTTAGACATCTACATATTCATGGTCGATCTAATCACAAGTTGAAGAATGTGCTGTGTGTTTGTTCACTCCTTAGAGCGTTGCCGGTTTTTGTGTTTTTGTTGAAACTGGCTAATTTGAACCCTTCAGTATTTGGTCGCCTTCGTGTTAATATATTACCTTCTTTCCTCTGTCTCTGCAGGATCGTGCGAAAACCGCACTAGAGCAGTTTTCTGCTGTTGAAGTCCATTCGAGATAACACGCGGTTCCAGGATCTTAGGCCTGTCTCTGCTCCATGGTATGTCTAGGGAGAACTCTTTTGTTCTGGAGTCTTGAATCAGGTGGCTGGTTTTGGTTGTGATGTCGGTTGCTTCCGAAGGAGAAGAGGTTTGAGCAGTGCACGACACCTGGGGGCACCTCAATCATCTGACCATGGTGCACAAGATACCTGGACGAAGCTCTTGTTGATGTCGCCACAAAGGGCCGAGGCCATTATATGCATTCGACGTAAGCTTGCGGTAACAAGCCAGAACCAAAACCAAACAACTTGGTACTTTCTGCTGATTGAGTGCTACCAGTGACGTTTGCCAGCACAACCTTGGAGGAATCAGCCAGGAATGCATAATAGTTGGCAATAGCTAGCCTGGCAGTTAGGAGATGCCTATCAGAGTAAGACAATCACGATCAAATGTCTTCGCTCTGTTCTTTATCCATGCTTTCATCTTGCAACTGATTCTAACTTCACCCTCACACCAAGCCATACCAAACACCCCTTGTCTAGTGTCTAATGCTGAACATGAATGTTGTGATCACCAAGGAGGTTTTACTTTTCAAACATCAAACAGATATGCTGCTCTATAATATCACCTTGGAACGAGGTTTCATGGACTTTTAGTAGATCTGCACTCTTCAAAATTAATCATTTCATGAGGAAGATGTACAGTATATGTGCGGAGCAAGGTGTTACTGTCTTTTAGTAAGTTCATCTTGTTGTACGATATGTTCAGGTACTAGGAGCAGTGATGAATCGAAAATCTCTCAAGTTGAACCTGGAGTTTCATTTGGCTTAATCAATCGACCTCATGAAGATAGTGAGTTTTCCCTGTACGTCAAGTATGACATATCTGGTTATACTGCTAGCGAGGTCACGACAGGAAGAGCTGGACCTGTCATGTTCTGACAGGGTTTACTAGATGTAACTTCACTGTGATGTAGTTTAAAAAAATAAAAATTTCGAAGTAGATGTAGGTCAAAAGTTTCATTAAACTCATCCCAAAGTGGTGTCTTCATTGTTAGAGGAATCAAAGTTTCCGCAGTAGGCCTCTCCTGTACTGTTTTGGACTCATTCATACTTGTTCATTGAACTTACCTCCACACCGCGTCGGATGTTTGCGTCCACTTTGAAGGATATTTCTTCAGTTTTGTGGTTGTAGGGATTTTTATCACGCTGTTACAGTCATCCCTGGAAGGTGGATTTGTTGCCTGCTTGTCAGAATCCTGTATGTTGCAACATCTGTTTTCAGAATTTGGCTTGCCGTGGAAGGTGTGGATCATGAATCTAAGGTATTGATCCATCAACTGCAATTTCCACCTTATGCACTGGACTTCAATGTAGATGGAACGTCTAACGGGGCTTACACCCACGGGAAACTCATTAACTCACTTTTTTCTCCACAACATCTCGTTTCATTTCATTTTTTCGCTGCAAATTTCCAAATCCTGATGTGGATAAGGAGAAAGATGGAGCCGCGATGGAAAGTCACAGCTGAACCCAGCTTGAATGTTGTTGATTTTCCAAAGTGTAGTGATCAGGAAGCGAAACACGTGAACTTCTAGAACTCGTTGTGTTACAAAAGCAGCCAAGGATAGCCACAGGTTTAGACCTTCCGAGGACTGCCAGCAACGGAGGTTCATATACTGTGTAAAGGCGGGCGGATATAACTCACTGTTGTAATGCCCCATAATTTGAATACCTTGTGATCTTACCAGTAGAGAACAACCTTGGCCACAAGCAATCGCACGTCCAATTTGGTAGGACATGTTGTCACATCTCACACGCTAAACGTAGACAAGTTCAACTCTTAAAGCCCAACTAGTGACGAAAGAGAAGAATAAATTAATCCATACGCGTTGACAATTATGACTAGGCCTCGGCAAGGTAAACTACAGGTCTTTACTTTTTACTTATTAGATGTTTGCCAATGTTGTTTACCTTTACCTTTTACATCTACCTCAAGGTAATTACCGGGTTACTTGATAGGGTTTCCTAAAGGTTAAAAGTTATCGTTTCATGAAGGTTACTCGGTAATTATCCTATTATCTCTACCCTAAAAGGTAAAAGGTAGAGGTAATAGAATAATTTACTTGTTTAGTACAAGTCCGTGATGGAATGGAAAGGATAAAAGGTAGAGGTAGTAGAGTAATTTACCTGTTTAATATAGTTCCGTGATGGAAAGGAAACTCTCCAGATTTGTGTCGGAGATGGTCATGTGCAAGAGGTTAATCTTTAATTCCTTATATACACTTTGTGCTCTCACTATATTATGCAGAATAGCGGTTTGAATTATCAATTAGGGTTAAACCTTCATTGCAATTTCCTCAATACCTTATGGAGAATGTGCAGAATTACATTTTGAATAATCTTGAGAGTGTACACGTTTTTTTTTTGTTGGTACCCGATCATTACCGGGTAATCCATTTGGCTCCACCTTTACCGTACCTCTAAGTTACCCTATAGTCAAATCTTTAACTTTTACCCTTACCTTTTACCATTTCATCGAGTAACTCTAAAATGTTACTTTACCTTGCCGGCCTTGCGTGTTTTATGGGAGAAGTCGAAGGTCAAATGAAAAGCTTTGTTTTGCGCCTTCATTGATTTTAAGAAAGCTTTTGACACCGTACCTTGTGAGCTTTTATAGTAAAGGCTATAAGTCACCGGAGTACCATCAGATCTTCTAGCAGTTGTGGCCATGTTATACCATTCTGTTCGAACCAAGATCAACACTTCTCAAACTGAAAAGATTTTGAGTACCATTGGAGTGATTCAAGGTTGTACTCTCTCTCATACTATATTCGGAGTTTTTATAGATAATATCGAAGAGTGGTTGGAGGCATGTGATAGTGAAGATGTCAAGCTTGGAAACTTTGTTATCAAAGCTATCTTGTATGCAGATGATATTATATTACTAGCACGTGATGCAATTAGTTTACAAAAACACTTATACACTTTGGCTAGCTTTTGTACCAAGAATCAGATGGAAGTAAATATAGAGAAGTCTAAAATCATGATAGTGGGCAATAGAGCCAAGTTTTCATTCTATTACTAGGATCTACAATTAGAAGAGGTGAAGAGTTATAAATATCTAGGCTTTGATTTTTCTAATGATTATAGTTGGGCACTTTGCGCGCAAAAGAGAGTAGAAGATGGTTACAAAGCTCTATATTCATTGCTAAATCGGTGTAGAAGGGCTCATCTTGTGTCTTGGAGTCTTAGGAAATTTTTATTTAGAAGCTTAGTGTTGCCGGTAGTATTGTATGGAACCCAAGTGTGGGGTTCTGGTTGTAAGAAGACAGGTTGGGAGCGTGTGGAGAGGGTGCAGAAGATATTTCTACAAGAAGAATTGGGTGTGAGAAACCAAACCTCATATGCTATTCTTCTTGCGGAAACATGTTGCTTACCTCTAGAGGCTGAAGCTCTATACTTGACCATCACTTACATAAGAAGGGTGAGATCTCTTGATGCTTCTCGCCTTACTCCTCAAGCTTTGAGTGCCACACGTGCCAAAGGATGGTTAACGGATGTGATAACTTGGTCTTTGAGGTGGAATGTGACGGAACGCGATTGGGACTTGCAACCTATAACACTACGTGAACGTCTGAAGGAGGAGTTTCAGAACATTATTTGGAGTAAGCGCGGCACCAAGATGCAGTTTTATCAACTTCATGTGAATCCTATGCTTGTTTATTGTGAACATGATTACTTATTTGCAGGAATCTCTACGTCCTTAGGTCATATTATTGCTAGGCATAGAACTGGATCTCATAGGCTTGGAATTGAGTAAGGACGTTGGCTTAATATTGATAGGAGTGAACGTATTTGTAGGCTATGTGATGGAAAAGAAGTTGAGTATGAAGAGCATGTATTTCTTACTTGTACTAGATATCTAGAGATTAGAGTGGCTCATAATATAGATGAGGAGAATTTCTATTCTTTGTTACCGTTAGTTCCTTTTGATTTAGGTTGTTATATTAGGAACATTATTAGTTACCATTCTAGTGCTCTTGGCACTAGCTAGGGTTTGGCCTTTGGGGTCTTTTCCCTTGTTTGTGGTTGTCGCTTGTATTGTGTTTTTCAGCCTTTTGATCCTTTGGGTACCCCGGGCTTGATCTATTACCATTTACCATATGTTTATTACTTTACAACCATGGTGTGATGAAACTAATCGCATTTGTAACGGACCAGTGTGGATAACTATCATCATTTTGATGGGTTAATGTTGAAAGCTGATGTTAATGCATAATCCTGAAATTTTAACCACAAAATGCCTTACAATGACATCTTGGATGTTGGTGCAAGTAAATGATCACTCTAGTGGTTCACATAGCTGTTTGATGTGGTAGCATTGATTTCATTTCTACCATATTGATTTCGAAAGGAGAATTCTGATATGAACTAATTATACAATGATGCTTGTCAGTTTTGTGCAATAAAGTAGTACATGAGATATTAGATAACTTGCAATTACATATTTTATTGTTATCTGTTAGTCACATGGTGGTCAATCAACAAAGCATTCATTCTGTATATCTTTGTTCACAATCTGCTGTGAGATTCGGAATTTAAGAGATTGCACATGAATATTCCTAATTATCTGATCATATGATCTAGATAGAAGAGTCTTGCTTTAGAATATTGCTTCATATCTATCCATATTGAATAGCCTTGTAGGTAACATCCATTAATTCTTTGATAAATTTTCAGGTGCATTTTGCTTTATATAGACAATGTAAGCACATTGTTTAGAATAAGATTTCTCATCACAATCAGTAGATTCTATAATCTTTTCTTTGTGGATATTTTGTATATGCTATTGAAATGTCAAGCCAAGATTGGTGTGCGTTGAATTAAGAATGCATCAAGGGATTTTTCCTTGCATAAAATAGTCATTCTTTAACGATACACTTTCTTCTTGGAATTATCAATCCACGTAGATTGTTTGCAGATGAATTGCAAACCAGTGATTTTATTTTCAAATTCAACGGAGATGCAATATGATCTTTTGTCTATGTAAAAATGCAGAGGAATGTTGGCTTAAAATGTTAGAAGATGTAACATCTAATATGACTTGTGAATATAGGTATTTCACATGAAGAGGAAGCTTTAAAATATCTTGCAATGGACTCAATTTAAGATAGATATATGATTCGATAGTAGTAGATGTATATTGCATAGAGTGTGGTTACATATGCTACATATACTAATTTTAAGAGAGTTTTAATTCAGTTATAATGAATAATTCCTGGAGTATCAATAATCAAACATATGAGTATCCAAGGTAATCATATACCAAAAAGGAGAGAGAGAGGGAGTGGAGGAGAAGTCACTAAGGTAATCAAGTATAATAATAATAATATTTTTTATTTATTTTTAGAATTTTTATATTTATATATGCTGACTTTGAGACACTCAAATAAAGAATATGTGCAAATTCTATCACGCTCGAAAAAAAGATCATCAGTCTCTTCATTTTATTTTACAGTCAGCATTCATCCATAACCAAAGAGATGACTATTAAGTACAATCCAGAAGAGAACAATCGCATATGCTGACTCTTTGGATGTATTTGCAGTACTCATATTGTTTGACCTATCTTATATTCACTTAATCTTTCACTTCATGATGCTCTTGGAGCGCATACCATCTCGATTACTTTGGCTTCATTCATATTCTGCCATCCTTTTTGGTTTACTATCTCGTTCAAAAATCACAAAATCACGTTCTAAGTAGAGTCTCCATATAGCAATAAATGAATATGAAAATGTAATATAAGTCAAATAAGAATTGGGTCTGCGTAACTTGCATTGCCCATTGATACTTGATCATCGTTGGTTTTTGAGCCGAAAAAGGTTTTATTGCAAAAGTGGAGTTATTTCTCTTATCAAAAAGTATATCAAAAGATTTGTATTTTCCATGCGTTGAGAAAATGTGAAAGGTGAAATCGCAGTCACCTATCGTCACAGAATAGCTCGCTTAATGAAAAACAACTAAAGATTGGTAATGAGATATAGAAGTGATAACACTTAAAAGAAAAGATGGACTAACCGTAGAGAGGAGAATGCGAAGAACGAGTAGTACAATGTACATCGTCAAGAGAAGAGAAGGGATCGGAAGAAAGGAGGGAGCGTGCAAGAGAGGCGAGCGGCGGCGCCAAGATTCAAGGAGCGAGAACCTCTTCTTTCAACATCCATTGCGGCTCTCCGGCATCCCTTCAAGCGCAACTATGACATCCATTTCTTCTGTGTAGCCAATCTGACGACGTACGTACCCCCTAGGTTAAGCGAGAAGTCAGTGGTCAGTCTTCTTCAGATCGCGTGCTATTCTTGGCCCTGTGCCGTGGACATCTTTAGGTCGTTCCATCTTGATTGATCTGAAAGACGAGAGGGACGTGCATGCGGACATGCATGAGCTGTGAGAGACGTCAGCCAATGAATTACATCTTTCCAATAGCTGGTATTGTTCAAACTGCTTCTGTAGGTTATTAGCTACACAGCTTTTGAGGCGTGCAGAAATCCTCTTTCTTTTAACTGCAGTAGTTTCAGAAATCAAACCAAGTCCAATGCATTCTCGATTTTCGTGAGTACTGATTTCTTATCGGATCGAAAACTTCGATAGACATACGATGGTCTCTGATCTCGCCCTCTGCAAGAGATGGTATATGATCTGCAGAATGGGATAACTCCTGATGATCTCTCTCTGCAATTTGCAGTTTGTGTCTGAGGAGAAGCGATATTCTAACACTTTCGAACGTATGTAGAAAATTGATATCACAAAACAAATTCGTGTCGCTCCTTGAATTGCTGCAACTTAATATGATAACTGAAAGAAGCGGCAATAGACTCATGAGTTATCATGCCCGATAATTAACCATTTCTGACATAGTAGTACGTCAAGATCTAGATCCGATGTCGTTCGATTGAGCTAACATTCATATGATTGTTGCTTACTGACAGTACAAGTCGAGAATCGAACATTTCCAACAAGTTAACCGAAAGATTTTACCAGGCTGAACATTCTTGGAGGAGGTTCTATGGACACCATGATTGAACCTGCATGCAGGCAAAGACAGCGCAACAACTGCATTTTGAGGAACATGGTTTCCGTATCTTATATGGCTGGAAGACTTGCACCCTCTACATTGCATAGTCCGATACATTTTCAAGCGACATGCAACAGAGGCCAAGAACAGAACTATGACCAGTTCTCAGCACCCTTATTGACGCAAAAAGAAGGGGAGAATGTCAAACTGTTGTTGAATAGCTCTTCATGCATTACTTCTGGCGTTGGAGATGAAACTTTCACCAGATCGCCATCACCGATTGCATCTTCAAGATTACATCTGGGCACCTGCCATCGAGGATTGCCTTTCGATGAATCCAGATCACGGGTCTTTTCACAAAGACTTCTCTTCATTCCATCAGGCAAAGAAGAAGGCAAAGGAGGCAAGATTGACAAAGGACCTTATGGATTTTTGATAGATTTTTTGATGGGAGGAGTTTCTGCCGCAGTATCAAAAACAGCTGCTGCTCCCATTGAAAGGGTCAAGCTGTTGATTCAAAATCAAGATGAAATGCTGAAGTCAGGCCGTCTTGCATCTCCATACAAAGGCGTCGCCGATTGTTTCAAAAGAACAATTGGAGATGAAGGAGTTGGTGCTCTTTGGAGGGGTAATATGGCTAATGTCATTCGATATTTTCCCACACAGGTAGATACACACTGCTGTATCTCAAATTCTTGTAAATTTCTGACACACAATGTAATCTTCACTTTTTCAACGCATTATTTCCGGGCATAAACACAGTGGTCATTATGCTTTGTTATCCAACCGTGAGGAAACTCTTTACTGAAGTAGCTCCAGATAAAAACTGCAACCCTGGGAGGCACAAAATCCAAGACGTACAGACTTAATTTACCAATCGATGCCGAATAATATCCAATGTCTTCTTCCCAGATTTATCTTGACTATCCAACTTATATTCTTCATTAGCACTTGTCCAAGTGTTTCCTATGCACTTGCCTTGGAGATTACTACTAGATTACTAGACTAGATATGGATAGTGTTGCTGAGTGAGATATGATTTGTCCTGAAGGACATATCGGTGCACATTTATCGTTATAATATTGCATCTAATATTTTAAAAAGCCTAGATGCATAGAAGTGTATCATGCTTTAGCGTCTGCCATTGAGCGAAAGATAGCTCTGACTGGTGCCACTTAATGGTAGGAGACAGAAAACTATGTACAGTAGGAAGGTCACGGATTGCTCAGCTTAAATCTCATGTGCAACCTGTGCATTCGTCTGGTATGCTTGAATTAAAATACATTTTCTGTAGGCACATTGTTAGTGTCATTCCTTCATAGTATTCGATTCACCTAAAGTTCTGTCTCTTCAGCTGGACACAGGAACTTACGATCTGGTTCGGTAGTCAAATTGTTTTTCAGATAGCACGTCAACTACTTAGATATAAGAGCAAGGTTCCAATGACTTGACCTCTCCCAGTGCCTAATATGGCCCGTCGCGAGTTAGAGCTTTTGACGCATTGACGGGACGGGACGTTTTGTAGAGATTGCAAAGAAATTTACGATGCCGGGCTGGCAGTCAGATGTTCCAGAAATATGACAAATCGAAAGAGAAGAACTAACTGACATGGCAAGTCGTTTCAGCTCACTTGGATCGAGGATCCATTAGCAAGCATACTGATTGTTGCTGCGTAATTGTGTTTTTGCTCACAGGCGCTAAATTTTGCATTCAAAGATTTTTTCAACAAACTTTTCGGCATGAAGAAGGACAGAGATGGGTATTGGTGGTGGTTTGCGGGAAACTTAGCCTCCGGGGGCGCGGCGGGGGCTTCATCTCTTGCTTTCGTGTACTCCTTGGACTTTGCCCGTACTCGTTTGGCCAACGATGCCAAATCTGTGAAGAAAGGAGGTGGAGAAAGGCAGTTCAACGGGCTTGCAGATGTCTACAGGAAAACCATTGCTTCTGATGGAATTGTTGGGTTGTATCGAGGCTTTAACATCTCGTGTGTTGGTATTGTGGTGTATCGTGGACTTTACTTTGGTCTGTACGATTCTCTCAAGCCAGTCGTTCTCGTCGGTCCTCTCGAGGCAAGTGTTCGTTGATCTATCTATCTTACTGCATGAAACTTGAACCTATCACCAATAAATGAATATAGTTTCTGACTTCGATGTATTGTCAGGGCGATCCATGATGAGTACTACTCAAATATGAAGAAGAAAGTGTTTGAAAATCGGAAAGAATCATTTGTGTAGTGTAGTATGAATGGCAGTTTCGAGTCACATTTATATGATCTGAATGTCGTTACAGGGGAGTTTCGGTGCGAGTTTCTTGCTTGGATGGGGAATTACGATTGCAGCAGGGTTGGCGTCGTATCCACTGGATACAGTGCGGCGCCGTATGATGATGACGTCCGGAGAGGCTGTAAAATACAAGAGTTCAATGGAGGCGTTCAACAAGATAGTTGCCAAGGAAGGTTACAAATCTCTCTTCAAGGGAGCAGGAGCCAATATCCTTCGCGCCGTAGCTGGGGCCGGTGTTCTGTCAGGCTACGATCAGCTGCAGATTATTTTCTTCGGCAAGGCTTACAGTGGAGGTGGTGGGTAGCGAACTGGATCCGGCAACCGTGATCAATCTCCTTCAATTTTTGCAATGTAGCTGATAGAGGTCGATCTTGCGGAGATTTATCTGACGTCTATTGCATTCCATTTTCAGAAGCAATCAGGATGTGCAGTAACTCCGTGCTTAGTTTTGTACTCGGTTGTTGTCGGTTTGAGAAGCAGCATCAGCTGCTCGCTTGAATTCCTGAAACTTTGATGGGTCCAGGTTTCCAGGTTTTGAATTTTATTGAGGTTAAGCACGTGCCCAGCTGGCCAAAAAATTGTCTTAAAGTTTCAGTTTTGCTAAATAGTTTAGTCATTATCTGAGCTTTCATGATCTATTTCTGTTTCCATTGCATGTGTTTCTTACAAGAAGTAATCATTTTGGATGTTGAAGATGATTTACTTCTCACGTTAATGAGGTTGTCTCTCCTCAGCACACAAGGAATGTTTGAATTATTGGGTAATTTTGCTTAAAATTAGCTTAAATGTAAATTAGTGAATGTAAACTTGCAACATTCGCATAGAATCTTTTAAGATTCTTTCTAATATAAATAAATGAAGAGATGATCATTTATATTTATTTATATGTTTTATGCAAAACTACATATATTTTCATTAAGGCATGATCTTAAGAAAAAATTTTAATCTTAGTCTCTTCTAAAATATGTCTGTATATCTAAACAGTTGAACAACACATAATATGATAAACGTCTTTCTTATGAAAAAATTACGTTATGTAAAGCTCTGTGTGTTGTTACAAATAAATGATCTTTATTTCCATGAACTTAGTATTGCAATAAAATATTCATAAGATATTAAATCTTTATTCAAATAGATTAAACAGATCATAGTTAAATTTTATGAACATCTACATCATTTTGACATCTATATCTCATGTGATAACATAGTTTTTGACAATTTACATTTCATATGATTGTGGATATCAACGCTTAATTTGTCTCACTTGAAAGTAGTAGTGAAAACCTATACATCCTACATCATAGGATGTATAGGTTAAAAAAAAAATTTGGTTTAAAATATTCAACAAAGTTGGAAGTAGGTATTTTTATCATCATGAAAATTTTATAGTTTTTGCAATGTTTTCAATATAAAAGTTCATAAATCATATTACTCATCGACATCTTAAAACTGAGATGTTCTCATAGACTACAATACTTTTTATCACTTGTATGTTTAGAAAATCACACTTATTATTTGATGTACTTTTTAACTTATCAATTCTCTATATATATGAAAAAATTATTCATACAATCAAATATTTTCAAAGAATTATATTCTATCATCTGTTTGTGAATCAATTGAAACTGTATCAAAATAACTCAATTGCATGTTAAATTAAAATATTTTAATCCAAAGGTTTATCGATGAATCAAATCAGCCTAGCGTAACGTGCAATTTGTTTATAATATTTAGTTAAATTTTGGTGTATGTCAGTCTGCTTGTTAGCCGGTTGATCAATGATGCAGCTGCCAAAGGTCGTGAAGCTGCTAAGTTGCTTGTGAATATGCAATCAGAAGGTACTCCCAATGAGTCCCGACTTAGAGAAAGAGAAGAATCTTCTCATGAAGCGTTCTACGCGAGTCCGTTAGAGCGAGGACAAGATCAGATCAACTTTTCCAAATTTTACCTGATGAACATGGATTCTTCCTGTCAACATGTTTGTGTACAGTGAATGCTTCTCGCTATAACAACTCTCAGAAATTCTTGCTCTTGGATCAGCTCCGTGGCAGCGACTCGACAATCTGCAAATTTGAAGGTTCTTTCCTCCCGGGTGAACGATTTCTCGCAAAAATGTACCATTTCTCGTGTACCTTAATGTCGCAAAAGGTTAACTATTTTCCTGAGCCTTTTCCCCCGACATTACTCTACTTCCTGTGTGTCTGCAGTCAACCAACAATCTGAAGCTCTGTCGCGGCCCTCGTAAACCTAGCCTGGATTTACCACTTTGTGGACGCTGGGCGACTTTGGTCTTCACCTGTCAGCTCTGATAACGATAGGTAAATTTCGAGGATTTAAATCATCGATAGAAATAATAAAAACAACACAGACAGATTTGGCACGAGAGGCAGTAGATACATGGTTTATCCTGCCAGGGCTAAGTCCACGACTGAGTGATAGTATAATGAACTCTCGGGGGTTATAGAGAAGGTGAGTTCAAATATATATACAAGAAAGATAACTCGACCCCAAATTGTAATCTACTAACCAGGATTAACCCAAAACCCCGAGTTAAACCCAAACATATAGCATTATGTTGGAAAATAAATTAAACATCAACTTTAACAACTCAAACTATGACTTCTTCAACATAAAACAATGATATCTAGCCACACACTTCACAAATTTTTTCTTTGTCCAAAATTCTAAATAATTTTGTATGACAACAGTTAATGTTTTCATACCAAATTTATACGTTCAGAATAAATTTATGATCAATTTCTATCTCTACAAGCTGAATTCCACTAAAAAAACTGAAAATTTTAATATTCAAATAAGTTATATTTTTATCCCTTCAATACGTTTTTAAATCAATCATAAAATTGTGTACCTTATATTTTGTCACTTTATCAAAACTGCTAATTTTGTTTTGAAAAAATATGGCACATTTTTTCAATCTTGCTATAATCACTTGTATAGAAAAGCTTAATTGGTTTAAAATTTGCATCATCTTTATCAATCAAAATTTGATATTGCTACACTTATTATTATTATTAAAAAAAAAACAAATCGCAAAAATTTCCTATTATCGTTGTCTATTGACGGTCAAAAAAGAGGCCGTGCCTTGTGGAAACATAGGGAACAATATTCCTGCTCGATGCGGGAACATCCTCACTACAGAGAAAAGTTTCGCTATCACACTTTTATTGTTGTGTTGTTTTTTTTCCAAAAATTTCTTATTGACTGTCATGAATATAATTTGAAAAAATTAATACAAAATTGGAACAATTTTTTTTTGCGTCTATTATGATATCATATGATTTTTTATATGTCAAATTCTATATAATTTTAACTATAATGATTTATTTGTGTAAAATTATGTTTAAAAATTCATTTATACTTTACTTTATATCATAATGAGATATACTATATATAGCTAGTTTTTTCAAGAATCATCAAATTTTTTAAAAAATAAACTTGAAATTCTTTTTACTTCTTGAATTTTTTTAGGCGGAAAATACAAAAAAAATAAGATTTAAATAAATAAATTTTATAAGATGATTTTAAGTATCTGTATGAGATCAATAAAGACAAAAATATAATCATATTTTCAAGCATGTACTTTATCTACTCATATCTCAAAATCATCTATAATTTTATTTTCATTTAAATTTTTTTGAAACAATAAATAAGATTCTAAGCATTATATTAGTATTGATGACAAAACAAACTAATGATATACATGTTGACATTAATATGCTAAAATTTATCTTAAATGATTTTTTTTAGCTCATCATGAATCTCAAACATTTATGTTACAATTACTATATGCGCGGAATCAAACATACTTTCATATTATCATTTCACTCATCATCATACATCACATCTTGAAAACATTCAAGCTATTTAAAAAATGCTAATTATTTATGAAAAAAATCTTCACTCAAATAATTTATTTTTTCTTTGAGACATCATTTTTTATCTTTCTATTTAGTTATTGTAAAATAATTATATATTTACGATGTATCAACTTTCACAAAGATTAATCTTGATAGATAAAATTGAATTTCATACAGAATTTACATGATTACATGTCATTCGTCTATCTAAACTTTTTAAAAACATTATTGTCAAAAGTTGAAACAATGACATGATATAAGTGATCTTGAAAATTCCAGATTTTCAACTTGCAACTAAATGAAAGTTACTCAGTCAAAGTAACAAATATCTAATGTAGACAAAAATTTCCCGTTATAATTTTGTATTGTTGGCTTCTTTAGTTTGATGTCAGCGTATGCTAACATTCTTCTTCTCTTTTTTAGATTGTTTTTCATCTCCCAAAAATTTACGTAAGGATATTCACATGCGCAGATTAACTCCATCCTTGTCTTGTGGAGATTCTTGTCTTAAGATGAATTTTGTCCTAGTATGTTCAATCATACTTCATGTAACTAATAAGATTGTATCAAGATATTGCATAGATGTTTGATTAATTTAAAATATTCAGATTCTTGCCGTGAGATGAAATAACTTATTTGCAACACTTTTTTTGCATTCATATTTGTTTCACACACAATCTAGGTTTTCTTGCATCGAGATTTCAATTACTTTTTGCACTAAAAATGAAAAATGATTAACTGTTAATTCCAATCTTGTTCTGAATATATAATTGAACTTCCAATCATTACATATATTAAACCAAAATCTCTCTTCTTCATTATTTGATGACAATATATACACAATACACAAAATTTTTGAATCATATCGATTTCATGTATTCTTTTTGTTTTTTATTTGTGCACATAAAATCACTTAATTCTTTCAATTGCAAATGACATGTGAATTGTTATTTTTCTAAGCCGTATTCATCTTTTTTTACATAATAATATTTATCTATAGATTTAAGTCATAGCATTCTGTGTCAAAATTTTGGATATTTTTGCCATCTGATCAAATTTTTTGATTGTCTTCAAACTATTCTTACAACTTTTAAATCATATGATTTCATCATAAAGCATGAAAAAACATATTTTTCTCATGTGATCTTGATTGATTATCATACTTGATCCACAGAATTAATGATCATAAGTTTTTTATTCAAATAATTGTATATACAATATAAGTAGCCGGTTCTTGATTTGAAAAATTAGATGACAAAAGATTAAAACATATAAAAGATTTTATATGTTTTTTTCATTTGAAAATATATTCATAGAAAATTAACACATGTTGTTCAATGATTTTACATCATCAAACAAGACAAATAAATCTCATACTCCTCATAGTAACAAGCAAAATATATTCTAAATAGTGTTGAAAACATTAATTCATGATGAGACAAAAGAAAAATCTGCTATCATAAATATTGAATAAAGTAATTAGCTATACAAACATTTACAAATTTCAACACATAATTACATATGAAATCCAAGAAAAAATATCTTATATAATATAGCAAATTTTTCCAATTGAATAGGTTAAATAAATTCACAAAAAATGAAAAACCTCAACACATGCGAGCATATGAAAATTAATCAGATATATCAACAAGAAGAAGATTATGCATTCAATTCATGCTTGTCAAATATGTTGATTCAACTTGGTTAGTAGAGTTTAATATCTTATTTAACAATGATGATGATATGTCTTTGATTTTGAATAAAATGATATTTTACATACAATTTTTTTACTAGAAATCAAGAGATGAGCTTGAAGATGAAATTTATCT